ACTCCTAGGTTAAACCTCCAAATTTAGATACATAGAATTTGGCAGTAAAGTGGCAGAATGGAGAAAGAACAGACTAGGAACTAGACTTCAGTTATAGTCCTGGCATCTGTTTCTAATTAGCTCTGAACATAATTTTACTTCTCCAGGTTTCAGTTTTCTCATGTGAAAAATGGGGGGATTAGGCTTATTTCTATCCAAAAATTCATCTGGGGTCAACATTCTGGAGGGAGAAGAAGCTGGCAGATTCCACATGAACATCATTCCTTCCTCCAAGGTTCCTCTGCAGGTTGCCTCCTTGGTACACATTGCTTTCTTTGTACTCTGAAAAGAAGCCTTCTTTCCCTACCAGGCAGCCTCATCTGAACTCTTGTGGTACTAATTTTAATCTAACTAAAAAATCTGTAGAGGCCACAGCTCTCTGGTCATCTCACTTCCTCTTCCTTGCATGGCTCCCTCATAGATATCAAAGAGCACTTCAAACAGATCACCTGGGCAGATGGGAGTGGGGCAGATGTGAGGCAGGCTGGGGAGGACATCCTGAGACTGCCTATTCAGGTGAACAGATTCTAGCTCATTCACTTTCCTCTTTCCTTTATCCTGAACTGGCATGAAACAGAAATAAACAGTTGTAACCACCACAGGGAGGAACTCTGCAATGTGTTGGCTTTATCTATTCTCAGTTCTTTGCCAACTAATCCAGTATGGTACTAATTTAATATTTTCCTTTGTACTACAACTTTACCATGCTTTTAAAAAGTAGGAACTTTGTCTTCAAATACCTGATACTTTTTATTGAGCAAAAATTTTAAAGTAAATCACCCAAAAAGAATATTCAAATATCTTCAGACAAGCCAGGCATAGTTAATAGTTAGTACTGTCCCATTCCTATTGCCTACCCCAAGTGCCTGTATCCCATTTTTCTAGGTTTAGAGTCTAACCCCAACATCCAAGGCTTGCACCTCCTTTACAGTTGCTCCACTAAATGGTGATCCAGCCTAATTTTGAATGTCCTAAAACGACCAGGAATTAACTACTTTTTTTGTGGCCACTTATTTCATCCTTAAATAGCCCTAATCATGCTCCCAAATCTATATCTCTCTAGCTTTACATCCTGGTGCTACTGTGTGAGATTGACAAGTTAAAAATAATAACGTCTTGAGTTCTCTTTGCCAGGCTTTGCTACAAATGTTTTCCATGTGTCATCTCACTTAATCCTCACAGCAAACATCACTCAAATGTCAACTCAAAGAGGGCAGATTATTTTTTATCTGATTTGTTCACTCTTGTGTCTCCAATCTCTCGAACAGTACATGGGTGATATTAGGCACTCAATAAATATTTTCTGAATTTAAAGACATTTACTATTATTACCCCCATTTTACAGATGAGAAAACAGAGATTCATAGAGAATAAGCACTATGAAAGCTGCAGGGATACTTTAATGGAATCTAAAGGAATAAAGATACTATGAGAATACCATTTGTGTCCAAGAGGTTCTGCCTCAGACCACATCCCTAAGGCAGTGCTCCATCTCATCTGTTCCTATGAGGGATATATCCAAAATCTGCTTCTAAGGCTGGAAGAAAGTACTGTCATGGTTTCAGAATGCCACTTACAACTGAGTAGTGGTTACTTAAAATGGTTCTCAAGGGTCTTGTTTATAGCAGTATGTTGTATAAATAACTGTGGCCATGGAGGATGGCATCTGATGATCTCATTTCTAACTGAAGATTGAGGGGGTAAATGTGGTAGGAAAGACAGGTGCAAAACAAGCAAACACAAACAGAGAAACAAACAAAATTCACAAACTAAACCACAAACACCAAAAAACCTCAAAACTTATGGACTGGAACAATGGAGAGGAATTTTTCATGATGGTTTCCTATATTTTCTCTGGAATAAACTGTACTTCTTTTAGCCTGAGGAGTCCTAGTGCTACTTGTTGGAACATTGCTGGAGGACTAAACAATGCCCTGTTTCAAGTATCATTTTCTTTCTTGCAAACCCCAAGTTCCTTGTGAATTTACATCTTCTGATGAATTTCATGAAGTGAGAGAGTATCATAACTCTTACCTTGGCTTTTCTTATTTTCCTTACGAAGGCCAAGAAATCCCAAGTATCACAGTTTTTTAGTTGACCAGGAGAAACATTTCTGATGAGTGGAATATTTTCTTTGGTAAACAAACAAACACCAACTCAAAACCAACCAAATAAGTTTCTTTGGTAAAGTGGACATTAATGTCTTGGTTGGAATTAAATAAAGGAAAAAAAAAAAACTTCAAGTGTTTGCTGGAATAATTCCTTCTCTCTTTGTAGCAATTCAAAAAATAAAACTTCATGATGTAAAGACTTAAATTTTATGGAAATGTGATTTTGGGATACTTCTAAAGTGTCTTCTCCATGGTGAGGCTAAACCAATGCTGTCAGAGCAATAATCAGTAGTCAATATTAACAAATAATAATTATCTAACAATAAATAACAAATCTTGGCATGCATAGTCTCCCAATAGAAAAAATTCATTTCACAGTCAGAATTTCATAAGCCTTGATTTCAAGTGCTGAAAAGAGAAGTTGACAAGTTTGAAAATGCCCTTCATTTAAAAATACAATATTCTAGGGTATACAGAGACTCAATCAAGTTGGAAAACTACTATCTGTCATAAACCAAAGTTCCATAGTAAGTCGTTCTGGTTGACCAAATTGAATGATTAAATTCTGAACAAAATCCACTTCATTGTTGTGTGTGTTGTGTCAGTTTTGTGGAGTCACTTTAAGCTGTGGTGCTCCATGTGGCTGACACTAAATCAATGGCTGATTTAGAACACACTGTTCAGAAAATGATTTAGCAACATGTGATTTAAGAATAAAACCAATTCCCTCTTCAGTTGTGTTTTATAAATAATAGCCCAGTTGCAGGCCCCTAGGAGAGAGAATTGATTGAAGATCTATTATGCAAATGCAATCTTGCCCTTTGTGAGGACTGTACTTGTCCTCAGATTAAAGCTCATTATCTTCTTGTTGAGTGTATAACACATTGGTATGATCACTTAGTGTGTCTGCAGGGGAGACTGAACAAGTGTGTAATACACTAGCTACGATCCCTTGCACAGTATTTGGAACTGTATGGAGAACAGTACATGAAACAGAAAGCACAGGTTTCAACGTGGTGTTGTTACATGTGAATCATTTGGGCTTGCTTTTTTTTTTTTTTCTTTTTTGGCTATTTAGAGAGACAATGGTAAACCTAAATCTAAAACATTAAAAAATGTCTGCCTTATGGCCAACAAAGTCCTATGTTCTATCTTAGAAATGTATTTCAAGGGTGGGGGGGGTAAAGCTGTCTTAGGAGTAAACCTAAAATTGATCTGTCCTGTCTTCGGCATGCTGAAATGAGGAAATCCTCTAGGGTATGACCTGGGTGAGTTACTTTGTTCTTCTAAGTCTCAGTTTCCCCCTCTGTGGAGGATGAGGAATTTGCACAGTATGTCTGCTAAAGTTCAGAAAGGTAAGATGCTTTGGGGAAATACTTACCACTATAGATATCTAAAGAAGCTACATCTCTAAAAGGGAAAAATACTGTGGAAGTTTGCCTCAAATGTAACTTGGTTTTAGCTTCAGTTTTATAGATTGAAAAAATGTAGGGGTCTGGGGCAGCATACACATCCTCTTCAGGTCAAACCATTTCCGTTTAAATCTATGAACCATTTCTCTTATAGATACTATAAGTTAACCATGTAAATATCTGGGCTTGTAAATGAATAGAAGGGCCTGATGATGAAGTAGAGGTGCAGTAAAAATGGTGTGTTGGGGGAACCAGAGAGGTGAGGTATGGCCAATTAGTAGACAAATTTGACTGCTGTCACTGATAGATTTGTATCAATGATCGCTTTTCCAGTAATTTCCATCTGTTTTCCTTTTGTCCCTTTATCTCCCTGCACTTCTACAAAGTTTCTCAGTGTTAGACTTTAGGATTACCGGAAGATCTTCCCTCCCCTCTATGTCTCTGAGAAGTCATGTCTCATAGCAAAGGCAGACTGTTACTGTAAGTTGGAAGCTATGGTAGATAACCATTCCTGTGTTTGTTTTTCTTTCCTTAGCTATATGTGGGCAGATGTTGTTTCTGGGTATCCATGCAAAAATGCATATAGGGCCAAACTACAAACAGCTGTACCAGATGGCTATATATTTTTGTTATTAAAATGAAGACACTGTCTCTAGGTTCCAGTAGCCATCCACTTTTTCTCATCATGCCAGGTATTTGGGTTTGGCTCTGTGGTGTTATGTCCCCATAGCCCCCCTGCCAAAATCTGTAATTAATAAAGCAGACCCATTTGGTGACAAGTGACGAAATATTCCAAAATAGAATTGTCCCAATTCTATGATGCTGGAGTAATCATTGGTTTTCAGGTGTATTAAACAAAGTATACAAATGTTAAAAATGTACCATTGGGGTAATATGATAAATTAATTCTAGACAACCAAAGTGCTTCATCCAGATGATTTTTAAGTGTGATTCAATTTCAATTTATGAGTGATGGTCACTACCATGACTGCTTCCAAGGCTCTGTCTTGCTTTTGCTGGTCAGAACTTTCACAAGCATCTCCTTAGGTGCTGGGGATCCAGTTGAGACAGCCAAGACCTCAAACCATAGACCCTGGTGAGAAGTACTGCTCTGCACAAGTTTTGGAAGCATTGTTTGGATAATGCTTGAAGCTATTTCTGCCTTGGCAGCTGACCTTTCAATCAGTTGCTTTTATCACAATACTAGCGACATCTGCAGAGTGGATAAAACAGGATCCTGCTCATTAATAAGCTTTCTTCTATTTCATCTTAGCTTAAGAATCTGTAAGTCTCCAAGGGTGTGTGTGTGTGTGTGTGTGTGTGTGTGTGTGTGTGTGAATGTGTGTTTAAATTCTTTCTTATTACAACCCTTTTGTTTTAAAGATTGAAAATATGCCATACCCATTACCCCCCTTGTCCTTTATACTTTTTTTTTTTTGCAATGCCTGTTTCTTGTCCTTAAAAAAACAACTTTGAATTTAATTGTTTCATTAACGCAATCTCTTTGCTCTTGATAAGACCTAGGGTGAAAATATACCAAACAGACACTATCACACTGTTGTAATTTGGTCAACCACTCGGGTACTATCGATATCCACCATTTCTACACACTCAATTTCCTCCCGGTTTTCAGGATTTTTCTTCTCTTTCCTTTTTTTCTTAGAGGGTGGCAGGAAAGTCAGTATCACAGGTAAAATGGCAAAGCAGTGAAAGAAGGTGACAAATGCTATTAAAAACAAGCACCTGAACAGTGTACAGGTCAGATTTGAAGGCACAGCTGCAAGAGGAATCAGACCAACAATATAGCAGAGGTAACTCTGTAAAATAGCTACCCCATGTATTTCTAGGGCATTTTTTACCCATTTAGTTCTTGTGAAATCCTTGCCCAGAACAAATGTGGATAACAGTGGAGCACAATTGTCAATTGTGTAGTTAATTCCATAGATTAAGCATAGCACGGAAATGCAGTCCAGTTCTACTTTCCATAATGTCATGAAACCTATCACTCCAAACTCCACAGACACAACCGTCAGAGTTATCCAGACATTAATCAGAGAATCTGCCACCAGGAATGCCGAGAAGAAGAGCAGGAACAAAGCACTGATGCAGGAGTTGTGCAGGGGGGCTCCCAGAGAGGAGGCATATCGATCCATGTACACAAAAGATGGATTAAAGACGATGAACTTCACTTTGGAGGTGACTGAAAGTCTCCTCAGGGTCTCCAAGAGATCATAGAGTTCTTCTCTGTTTGTTTCCATGGTCTTGGCCACCAAAAACATTCTGGAGGCCACAACATCAACTTCATCATTGTACTTTTTAGAGAAGATGATGTCCTCTTGAAAATGTGAAAATTGGGGGGCTTTCAAGAAGGAATTCCTCAACATGTCTGTGAAATTTTTCTTAGTCAAGCCAGTGGATACATTGAGTTTCCTAAGGTAATTTAAGTAGCTTTCAAACCAGGATATCCGCACAAACCCCTTGGTATATTCTAGAACGTCTTCTTGGACACTAGTGTTCCAGTATTCTATGGACTCATATATGTAAAACCCAATCACAGGACTGTAGTTGCTAAAGTACTTTTGCTGGGCAGTAGTATACTCAATGGTTTGTGTCGCAGTTGCTACGATGTTACTAAGGTCTGACCCTTCGCTGACCTGCAGATAGCCCATTAAGGCAAAGGAAATATAAATAAGGTAAAAGAGAACTACAAAAGGCTTGACATAGGTGTTGGTTATCCAGTCACAGTAATAGCGTTTGAGGAAACATACCAATAGGTGACTCTCGTAAGTGTTCGCTTCCTCTCCTTCAGCTGTTTCTTCACTGAATCTGGCTGTCAGGAGAAACCTGTACCATGCCGGCTTCTCCTGCAATACCTCAGGCTTTGGGACTTTTCTACAGAAGATACTATGCTGGTAATTGTTTTCTATGTAGCCAGTGAACACCAGGCTGGAACCATAAAACGAGAGTACATAGAGGTAGTTGAAGAAGATTGCAATACAGGAATTGCAGCAGAAAATCCTGGCTGCCTCAATGTTTGTGAAAGGACTGGCCCCTATGCCAAAGGTGACCAGGTACATGGCAGTGGTGAGAGAAAAGGAGAGCATGGAGTCTGCATAGACTGCTGCAGTTCGCTCCTTAACATGTTGGTCTTCTCTAGTTTTCCTCCAGGAGGATAACATTTCAAAAGTCCCATATAGTCCATGACCTGAGGGGGGCAGAAAGAGACCAGAGCAAAAAAGTTTAAAGAACTAATCTCTTTTAAAAGGGGAACCAAGTTGATCATGAGAAATATAACTATGCCCAGGTGGTGGCAGGTATGTAAATGCCAATGATTTCTCCTATTGGGAGAGAGATCAGTGCTTTGATGAATCATAAGCATCAATGGATGTGAACAGGCAGCAGGAGGAGCAAGAATCTTCCTTCATGTTCCCTTCTGGCTTTATAAAGCTGGATGAACCTTTGCCTATAGAAATCTGAATAGACTTATCCCTATGTCTCTTGGGAACTATATACATTAATAGGTTAGGGTTGTTGGCACAGTTTGGCTGGACACTAATCATTCTTTTCTACTCCCATAGGTCTGGCTAGGCATCAGCACAGAAGAGGGCAGTGGTCAGAGGATTCTGAGTTAATGTCCCATCACTTCTTTTAAAATTGGCCAAATAGGGGGCTTTAGTGAGAAAGAGACTCTGTATTTAGTTTGAGTTGAGTCTTGACAGGAAACTAAATCATAGCCTCTTTTTTTTTAATCCTTCCTCAAATATCAGGGCAGGAAGCAATACATCTGAGAAACAGAGGGAAGCAAAATAAGTAGAAACAAGTTTGAATGAAGAGGAAAGAGGGAAGAATATATAGAAGGAACAAGATTCACATGAACTCTCCCTCCAATTGTTAAAAATTATAGTTCAGACTGAAGGTTTATGACTTGCATTTTGTCTTTAGGGATTTGTTTGATCAATTTTGGTTGTTCATAGATGACACATCAAGCAGACAGTGACTCTGCTGGCTTTTTTGTACTGTTTGGCAGTGGCCTCTGTGGGAGAGAGCCAGGTCAGTAACCTCTTTCTTTAACTGCTTAGTGCCTCTGCCTCCCTGATTAGTATTCCAGCAACACTGAAATAGCAGAGGTACAGTAAGTGTCCATGTTCTGACTCAATTCTTCTCCCTGAGAGATCTAACATGACTTCTGCAACCTCTCCTGGCTGGAGCCAGACACTTCCATGCTGTACCTCTCTGGGTTTCCAGGCCACTGCAGCACTGGAAAACCCACCAGACTGACTTGTTGCAGCTTTCAATAACTCCTGTCTTGGCACTGGAATCAGCAGATCTAATTTTCTGCTTCCATGCCTTGGCATATTCACTCCCATTATTGAGGATAATAAAACCTTTACACTGTGGTACAATAGTCTTGTTTTTAAGAAGGAATTTAAAATATCCAGCCAAGCATAATATGAGTGAAGTGAGTCACTGTTATCTTGTGTGTACAATAACCAAGCACACATCTTCTCTTGTGCTTTGCCTGGTATTTATATTCTTATTGTGAAGTCCTAACCTCAAACTTGAATGCCTATTTCATAGTAATTATATAGACTTGTTTCCTCAGTGGGATTTGGCATTTATCTTAATTTACTAGGAATCATTTTACAGCCACTTTTGGAGTTCAGGTCAAGACTATCAATTTCTTAACTAGCACCATGGCCTCTATTAAATTGGAGGCATATAAACTCTCAGACATGAAGGAAAAAGTGCACTTGTTGACTGGCAACCTGTTGTTAATTATGTTTTAGGTAGTTAATGTCTATTCTCAGGAGAGAAAACTATTTATTAAATCTGTTTCCACTGCAGGATGGACCAACTAACTTTTCATTACAAGTAGACCATTCCTTGGCAATGAGTTGATAAAAAGAGTTAAAAATACTTCTGAGGCACCAGCACTCTGGGGAAATGATATTGACCATTTAATATGGAGACATGTAGAGCAAGTAAGCTTTGAAAGGTAAAACACACTTCAAGAAGCTGCTGAAATGGCAAATACTTTTTGTAGTTTTTACTTGCTAGAAACAAAAGAGTAGTTTAAACCAGGCTGTAATACTTACTCATTAAATATGATAAGATGCACATAGAAGAATTAAAATTAATCATATAGTAGAATTTAAACTAAATCTGTTTTGTAGTCCTTTTTAAAATCAGTGTGATGTTTTATGATGACATTATCTGACTCCGAGTCTTGTTGGAAAACACACTAAGAAGCCCTTTCTTACCTCACTGTTGAATAATCTTAGAAGTTAATTGAAAACATAAATTTGAATTAACACAGCTATTAGATGACAAGAGTGAGGCTTGAGGGTCCAGAATGAAAATACTAAAATTCAAGGAAAGTTAGAAATAGGCTATTAATTTGTCTCTTGAGTTGCTGCATTTCAAATGCTGGTCCTTCTATAGTTTGATCTTTTTTTTTTTTAATTGAGTCCTGACTCTTTATGCATGTTTTTAGTTCTAGGGTAGCTTCAAAGAGGATTCTAATTTTATTTCTAGGGACTTTTGGGAAAATGCCTTTCCTTCATTCCTCTTGCTAGGTATATGTGTGCAGATCCTCACAGAGCTCAGAACAGGCCCTGAGAAAGAATCTTCTATCTGATCACTCAGCATTTGCTGCTTATCCTTGGCCTTGCCACCAAAGACCCCCTGCCCATTCCTGATAGTACAGATATTTTTTCTCAAGCACACCTCTCTGGTAGATATATATACCCTAAACCCCAAACTGGAGATATACAGTGTCTTAGTAGAGCCCTTTGGATTTCTAGGACAATTGCTGATGCCATAACTGAACCTCCATCCTGTAGCTCAGTCAGTCATGTGAGGGATGAGTGCCAACAGCTGCAGGTACCTCTTAGGGATTAACAGCCTAGAGTGCCTTGCTGGCACTAAACCTGGCTCACAGCTGAGTATTTATGCTGAAGAGTTCAGTCTACTACCCTAAAGGAAAACTAAACTGTAAAGACCCTGTTTCTTGGCTTGAACTCAAAGAGAGACACATTCCAAGAACCCTAGGACATGAGAAATACCCTCCTTATCCTCCATACTATTCACTGCCTCCACCCACACACCAATACCCGCTCTTCTGGGAATTACAGCTGAATTCCCTTTGGCCTTCAAATCTATCATTTTAAATACAAACTTCTCTTGGAAATGGTCTACTGAAGCAACTTCCCTGTAGGTCTGAAAAATGGGACAGAGAATGGGTATCGGGAAGGAGTGAAGACAAAATGGTGGTGATGGGTATATAGCTCAGTGGTAAAATGCTCGACTAGCATGTGCAAGGCCCTGGGTTCAATCCCCAGCACTGGGGGAAAAAAGGAAATGGCAGGTGAGAGAATTTCACAGAATAGCCCCTTCACAGTTTTTCCTCTGGTCAGTCTTGGCCTTACTTTAACATCCATCCCAGAAACTGGACAAATCAGTCAAGGCAAGACAGAGAAGAAAATTTTTGATAGTTTCTGTTCCTTTCTACTTTCTTCTCTCAGATGGTGGGTCCCTCCTTCAGCATTTCCATTATCCACAGTACTCTTAACCTTGGAGCTGGAATCCAGCAGGCAGGACTTTGAGGCCAAATATTATAGATGTAGGCAAACATACTGCATGTGGACTGAAGATACTTTTCTGAGCTTTGACTATTCCCTCACTTTAAAAAGGCACTTTTAAAAGTAAAAGTATTACTGTTTGTTTTGCACTCTAGTTTAAAAAGTTTTCTATGAAGTAGGAGATCTATACGATTCTCTGTTAAATCTGACTAAGGGTCCTATATCATTGGCACAAGGCATCAGTTGTGACATCTGTCCCAAGTCTGTTCACAAGGATTTCCTAGTAACTGAGTTTACAGAGATAGGCATGGGAAGCTGCCTAAACACAAAGTTCCAAGTAGATTTTTATGTTGGTGACCAGGGGCTCTATAGTGGTAATGGAAATCATAGCTCATTATCAAGGGGGTAGGTCACAGCTAGAGATTGGAAGTAAAAGACTATATTATAGTGAGGATTTCAGGACCCATCATATCCTAGGATATTCCTCCTCTTACAGTCATAGTAAAAGCTGATATGTTGCCAAAGGGAACTGTTAAACAAAACATATGTAATCTATCAAATTTTGAAGATAGAGACTTGCTTGTCTTTTACAAGCACATTCAGGATGTTTCTATTTTTATTACATGGAATGTCTGTATTGTTATGTACATTGGAACACATGCATATCACTATGCGTTAGACACACACACTCACAGATTCAAGTTCTAGTTATTCATGAGTGATTGCTTTGACGCATCATGGGCTTTTAGCCAGGCCCTGGGGTAAGGATCGTAGAGCTCTTCACTAATGTTCAGATACAACTTGTATCAGGAATACGATTTTAAAAAGGAAACTGCTTTTATTAATTTTATTAGAGATAGACTTTGGGACTGCCATCTAGTAAAATCAAATGCTAAAGAATTCAAGCTATAATTTTTCTTCTTTTCAAAGATACTTTTTGTATCTGTATGTGCAGTGAACTTTGAGGCTTTGGAGCTAATGAAAAGAAAAAACAGCACAGATGATAATTAACATTGCTGGTGGAAGAAACTCAACTAGCTAATCCTCCAGTCACTTAGGGAAACTCTCCAGCAGACTCACAGATTAAATCTCTCTCTTCACCCAGACTCTCTTCTGGGGTCTAGCCAAAACCTTCAGGGTTGTTTATTAATCCACTAAGGCAGGAATCTACTAACAAATAGTCGAGAGTTAACCTAACTTTACCCAGTAGACACAATTGTGGAAAGTTGTTCATAAAGTGAATTGCGTTTTAAATTTATTTAATGGTTTTGCCATAAGAGGCAGTTTGGGTGATTTGTTTTGTCAATGAATATCCATAAGCAAATTGATCTAGTTTGTATATCTGGATTTTGCAGGTATGATTTTTCTTCAGGCTCAGATTCTCCCACCTTCCCCAGTCCACACAGACATAGCACAGAGGCTGATTGATGCCTTGTGGTGCTCTGCACATTTTAATCCCTTTCCTACTCGAAGGATTTCCTCAGCTTGAATGGCTGAGAAGATGAGGATGTGAAGTGAGATGGCTTGCTGATGGATGATCTCTCAGTTTCAGTTCAAAAACATTTAATATCATGAGACAATGAAGCTATTTATAGCATGCCTGGGGGGTACCAAATTTTCACAC